GTGCATAGGCAACTGGCTGAGTCAGTGGGATCGTCGGTTCGAATCCTACTGAAAGAAGTCTGATGAGGAAATGTGGTGATTTCCGAAATAGCTATCACTTCTACCATTTTTTCAAATTATTGTTGCTTTTCCACAATAAATTTTCATTTAAAAAATGGCCTCGAGCTCATTATAAAATTGTTGAATATAATTGTTAAAAGGCCAAAAAATAACAAAAAACAAATTTTTTAATTTGTACAAAATTTTAATATCGGATCTCAATGGTTTTTGTTACACAATATGCTATAGTTTTTTATGAATATTAAATAAACAAAAGAAAACCCGTAAATACTAAGGCTCAAAAGGGTGCGCTATTCAAATCACAAGGAGTGTATTGTGAACAATTACTTACCATACTATTTCGCCATTCTTTAAGCCCCGCCTTGAACTTAAACATTTCGCCAAAGAAATTCGTATCAAATTTATTGAAAAGCGTTAATACATCTTCAATTTCCATTTTTTTTCAAAATTAGGAATGTAGTGATTCCATGAGCTTTTAAAAGAGTACACACATCGTCACTTAAGTCCCACATTTTAAATAATTACATCGTTTCAATACACGGTTCACACATATTTATTGTCTGGTCCATTATTTAATTGTTTTAAATAATTAGCGGCGATGTAATAACCGAAATTAATTCAAGTAATAAATATAGTATATAAAATAGATCATCAAATTATTACTAGCACTTTTATCTGCACTCACTCCTTGCTGAACTAAAACTAAAAAACAAGAAGCATTTTGTAATTTCTTAATCGAATAGAAATAATATAAAATGCAAAGTACCGTTGTTATTGGCTTCGAAAATATTTCACTTACATACATGCCTATGTAAGTATGTACATACGCATGTATGTATGTCATGCAAATAGCGAGAAAAAAGTAATAAGACGAAGGGCACATTAGCGCGAATCTGAGATTGCGAATACGCAAAGCTAAAAATTACAACAATGCTACCCATCCGAATTCAACGCGAAAGTGAGCACACGTATGAGGATTTGAAGCCAATAGCCCAATTTGCAACAAATTCCCAACGATAGATTCGCGCTAATGTGCCTTACGCTTAAGGGGAAAACGCAAAGAGCCGTTATCATTGGCTGCATATGGTTGTAAGTACTTCACTTACAGGCATATGTAAGAATGTACATACATATATGTACATACGTATGTATGTATGCAAATGACAAGAAAAAACGGAAAAAATATTTTGAATTTTTAGAGACATCTCCGAAAAATAAAATGATTTCTCTATGGGTCGTTTTATTTGTTGCGCAGTTTTGCTAATTGCGTTTTAAAAATGTGATTAATAAGATTTTTCTTATTAATATTTCTAAAGAGATATCTTAGAGAATTAAGAAGAATTCTCGATTTTGCGTTTTTTCCCTATTTTGACAGAAATATCAAGAGGAAATAATAAGAATTTCATATAAATAACATACATGAAAAGGAATCTCAAGAAAATACGAAGAAATATTCTTAATATTATAATATAAGAATTTGAGCGGCAAACCAAAGAGATTTCCACATAATATTGTTTTCGTTCCTGGCATCTGGCCTACCCCTCAGCCTAATAATTGTTCATAGAGACAATCTTATTAATTTTATTAGGTACTTTTGGCTCTGTGTATAATGAACCATTCGCAGCATACGATTGCGAAAGACTCACTGGCGCTGAGTCGTTGAAGAACTCTTGGAAAATAAACGTAAAAGACGGTAATGTTAATGGCGATGCTAGCAAGTCAATATTTGTATAAAGTTTCATAAAAAAATTCCTTGTTGTTTAAAGAATATAGGAAATGGTACATTTTACTAAAGCCAACCTCCCTACATAAGCTACTATTTCATACGAGCACAAATATATTCGTCTACAAATAATGTTGATTGTTTTAATTACGTCCTAAGATAAGTTTGTGAATCTTACCAGTGTTCTATGTAAGAACCAAAAATCAATACCCTCGCCAATTAGAACTTTCGCTCTAAAATAAAAATATGCATAGCGCATTTACTCAATACTTGGTGTGGCATCACTGTTTGAGCATTGATGTGCTCAGCTCACTGTTGCCAAGGTCGTGCATTTTGCACTAAATTTAGTGCTTTTGGCAAACCAAAAAACCAAAATAATTGGAATTCAATGCTTGGTGCGGTATTTAGTGATGCTTTTTTAATTTAAGCACACCGAATGCATAGGTACATATGTATGTATGTATACACTATACACTAATATTTACATTAAGATGGAATTCATTTACTGAATAAAATATGAGGAATAGGTAAACTAAATATGTTTTGCGTTGTTATAAATGTATGGAAATTAATTTATTAATAAAAACGTGAGGAAATGGATATGTATATACACTTTTTACTGAATCAAAAAAGTTATTAAACATGATAATAAAAACTTGGCGCTTTTGTTTTGGAAAAATTGGGTTTTTCTGGTGGCCTGATGCCACACTGGCTCAGTTGTCGCAAAATATGTATACGATGCCTTCTCCGTACAGCTCACTTCACCTCGCCTAGCACGCCCGCGTGCTCGCAGTTTGCCCGCGACGTCGACTGCGTGCACCTCTGTGTATCCCTACTCTAAAGCACAGTTGGCAGAGTCTTCCTGTCGGGCGACTGATTCGCGTATACATACACGCTCTGCTTGGAAAGACAGCGAAAGTTTCATTCAACCGCACGACTCCCAGTATAAATTTTATGCATACGACATTGTTGTTGGTGGCATGAGGTTGCTGCTGTTTATACATGCCTGTATAAATGACCCTTCATATCCATTTAACACGCAAGGTTTCTCAGCGCGTATGCGTACTCTAACCATACACTTGTACTACTGCTGTATGCATATGGCTGTACAGTACAGTATTAAAGCATTCTTACAAGATATGTATCCCCTTATGTAAATGCTACTTCTCTGATACATTTTAATATACGGGAACATATAAAAAAGTAGCACTTACATATGCAAATGCATATCTTGTAAAAGCCCGTTCGTGCTGAAAATAGTATCGCACAACACGTCCGTTCACTAAAATTTTTGTACAAAACTCAAAATATTACAAAAATTCCACTTCAAATTTATCAAGAAATGTACTCAAAACAACGACAACGTACATTCGCTTGCAAATCGCTAGAATTTGAATTTATTCGTGGAAATTCATGACTACGCATGAATTGTTCACACTAATTCACTCATATATCAATCATTCTTCATGAATGCATACAACCGATTTCTACTGGGCTTGTTCGCACGCACACAGTGACATTCATTGCACGGACACTACAAAAATTCTCTGCCGAAGCTGCCCACCTCTGGTCTAAAGACTGTAACAAAAAAACTCAGTTTTAAAAATCCGAGTGACCTAATAGTTGAATACATATTTATCCCCCTTTTACAAACTCATTCATACTTAATTCCATACATATGTCTGCATGCCAAATTTCAAGTTCATGTGACTTATGGTACCAAATTTATTAAAAATTACACGTCTATGCACCACGTTCGTTTTACAAACCCATATATACCTACATACCTTACTGCAAGCACCTACCATGGATATGTATTCATACCAAACAGCATATTCTGGTGTATTATGGTTCCAAAGCTGTAGCTGATCCAAAATTTCAAGCCCGTGGTATGTGCCATTCCCCTTTTAAAAAACGCATTTATATACATATATCTTACTAAAAGCATTTATCAGAAATCTTCAAACCAAATGTGAAGTTCATGTGACTTGTGGCTCCGAAGTTATATCTGCTTAAAAATGTCACGCCCTTGGGACGTGCCACGCCTTCTTGTACGAACTCATTTATATATATGCACCCTATTATAAACACCTACCATAGATATATCTGCATTCCAAATTCAATCTCATGTGGCTAATGGTTCCGAAGTTATAGCTCATTAAGATTTCCACCCCTATGGGATATGCCATGCGCCATTTTATAAACTCGTTTAAAATATATACCTTACTATAAGTACCTACCACAGATAAGTTTGCATACAAAATTTCAATTTCATGTGACTTATTGTTTTGAAAAAGTCAGGATGTTGTCACGATAATCGTCACTCAGATCACTCAAACCTTAAGGCGGCCCTGTATTTTTAAAGCAGTGTCAAATATCGGATTGCTGTCAACATATTTCGGTCAGCGACTCTGACACTAAAAAAGTCTCGCATAAATTGCACAATTAATGGCAATGCACTTGAACGAAGGCACTTCGACCCTTTGAGTCAACGCCTTAAGCGCAGTGCAAACAAGCAATGCAAGAATAACGAAATGTAGACCCAATTTCTAATGACACACTTAGAGTGCGATGATTGAGCAAGGAATTGAGTGACGGTGATCGAACCCTAAGTAGAACACCCAACGTGAATCATTATGTTAAGCATAGAGGCGTAAGCGTAGAATCTAAGCGTGTGTATAAATAATCGTAGAACCTAAGAATAGTTGCGCAGAATACTTTGAAAGTTGAGGAGTTGATGTCGCTCGTCGGGATCTCTCTTTTCTTTAAATATAACTGTAAAATTAAATCGAAATGTTTATTGTAATGCGTTTCGTTCGGGAGTCAATAGCGTTTAGCATTTCATGGCGATCTTGCCATAATCTGCGCTTTACCACAATGGCTTGGTGGAAGAAAATGTTAAGTGTTCTGATGATTGCGTTTTCCGGGTACGAAGTCGGAAAAGAAACAAATAAAAATGCAGTATAAAAATATACAGAACAGACATATTTCGAGGATGTGTACAAATAAGTGGGAAGAAAATACGAGGAAAGTGAACAAAAGACAGAGAAGTGGCAAATAGTTGCACTCGTAATAACACAGCCACACAAAAAAAAATTTGTGTTCTGACCCAAAGGTCTCACTATGTGTACATTATGTTTTTGGGGTCGCTGAATCCGAATCCGAGGTCCATTTAACCCCATCAGTTCAGGGTTTTGATATAACCCCAGAAAACCAATATGGCGGACACCTTTTGGAAAAATTCATCGGATTCGCTTGAAACTCGTTACTCGGGGGTTTTCGGGGTCGCTAATTACGAATATGATATTATTTTTTCAAAATTCAAAATGGCGGATCCAATATGGCGGTCACATTTTTGTAAAATTCATCGGATTCGCTTGAAAATCGTTACTCAGGGGTTTTGGGAGTCACCGATTACGAATTTGATGTCAGTTTTCGAAAATTCAAAATGGCGGATCCAATATGGCGGACGTCCGCCAATTGAATACGTAAAGGAAATAGAACAACTCACTAAACAACTAGAATTAGCATCATCTATNACCACAATGGCTTGGTGGAAGAAAATGTTAAGTGTTCTGATGATTGCGTTTTCCGGGTACGAAGTCGGAAAAGAAACAAATAAAAATGCAGTATAAAAATATACAGAACAGACATATTTCGAGGATGTGTACAAATAAGTGGGAAGAAAATACGAGGAAAGTGAACAAAAGACAGAGAAGTGGCAAATAGTTGCACTCGTAATAACACAGCCACACAAAAAAAAATTTGTGTTCTGACCCAAAGGTCTCACTATGTGTACTTTATGTTTTTGGGGTCGCTGAATCCGAATCCGAGGTCCATTTAACCCCATCAGTTCAGGGTTTTGATATAACCCCAGAAAACCAATATGGCGGACACCTTTTGGAAAAATTCATCGGATTCGCTTGAAACTCGTTACTCGGGGGTTTTCGGGGTCGCTAATTACGAATATGATATTATTTTTTCAAAATTCAAAATGGCGGATCCAATATGGCGGACACATTTTTGTAAAATTCATCGGATTCGCTTGAAAATCGTTACTCAGGGGTTTTGGGAGTCACCGATTACGAATTTGATGTCAGTTTTCGAAAATTCAAAATGGC